AAAAAAAAAAAAAAAAAAAAAAGTTTTATTGGTAAACGGCCACACCCATTCACTGATATATGGTCTGTGGCTGCCTCTGTGGTACAAACAGCAGAGTTGAGTGGTTGTCACAGAAACGCAACGGTCCCCAAAGATGAAAATATTGGCTGGGCACAGTGGCTCACACGTGTAATCCCAGCACTTTGGGAGGCTGAGGCAGGCAAGTCACTTGAAGTCAGGAGTTCAAGACCACCCTGGCCCACATGGTGAAAGCCTGTCTCTACTAAAAATACAAAAATTAGCCGGGCGTGGTGGCCCACAGCTGTAGTCCCAGCTCCTCGGGAGGCTGAGGCAGGAGAATTGCTTCAACCCAGGAGGTGGTGGTTGCAGTGAGCCGAGATCACACCACTACACTCCAGCCTTGGCAACAGAGTGAGACTCCATCTCAAAAAACCAAAAGAAAATATTTACACTGTAGCTCCTTACAGAAAAAGATGGCCAACCCTTGTCTACACCATTAAGGCAAAGGCAATGTCAGTTTGTTTGTTTGTTTTTGAGAAGAAGCTTCACACTTTTTGCCCAGGCTCGAGGGCACGATCTCAGCTAACGGCAACTTGTGTCTCCCGGGTTCAAGTGATTCTCCTGCCTCAGCCTCCTGAGTAGCTGGGATGACAGGCACCCGCCACCACGCATGGCTCATTTTTTGTATTTTCAGTACAGACGGGGTTTCACCACGTTGACCGGGCTGGTCTCAAACTCCTGACCTCCGATGATCCACCCACCTCGACCTCCCAAAGTGCTGGGATCACAGGCGTGAGCCACCACGCTGAAGATTTCATTTTCTTTTTATGGGAAGGGGTGCTTATCAAAATGTATCTTGCGAAGGCTGCCCGCCTCCAGCCTCCTCGTGATGTGGATTCAGTCTCAACTGCCCACTCACCTGTGAGCTCAGCCGACACAATGGTGCCGTAGGCAGCCAGGGAGATGCCGTGCTCCTGCAGCCTTGCCCGGATCCCTTCCTGAAGTAGCTCCTCCTCCCGGCCCAGGCTCAGCGTCTGGAGGGGTCGCAGCAGAAAGTGCAGCTGGAAATGCACCAGGACGCTGGAGTTCCCATCCCTACAGGTATGGAGGAGAGGCCCTTGGAGAAGGAGGGCCTCCTCTCTGTTGGAATCTTCTGGAATCCTCCAGAAACTCCCAGATATCCACCAAGTTTCCTTCACCCCATGGAAGCTCCAACTCACCTGTAATTCAGCACCGTGCAGCCCACACAGCTTGCCTCTAACTCTGTCTTCTGAAAACTACTTACAAACTGCAACAGAAACAAGACCAGTCAATGTTGACACCCACAGCATGGGCATCCCACCACTGCAGAGGCCGGGTAGGTGGTGGAGGGAGCTAGAGAGCGGGTTGGTTCCATGGGAAAGCATTTTCTTTTATTTATATTTATGTTTTATTTATTTATTGAAACAGTCTTCCTCTGTCACCGAGACTGGAGTACAGTGGCACGATCTCGGCTCACTGCAACCTCCGACTCCCGCGTTCAAGTGATTCTCCTGCCTCAGCCTCCCGAGTAGCTGGGACTGCAGGCGCGCGCCACCACGCCCAGCTAATTTTTCTATTTTTTAGTAGAGACGGGGTTTCACCATGTTGGCCAGGATGGTCTCGATCTCTTGACCTCATGATTCGCCCTCCTCAGCCTCCCAAAGTGCTGGGATGACAGGCGTGAGCCACCGCGCCCGGCCTATTTATGTTTTATTTTTATTAATTATTTATTTATTGAAACAGTCTCCCTCTGTCGCCCAGGCTGGAGTTCCGTGGCAAGATCTCGGCTCACCGCAACCTCCGCCTCCTGGGTTCTATCGATTCTCCTGCCTCAGCCTCCCAAGCAGCTGGCATCACAGGCACGTGCCACCAGGCCCAGCTACTTTTTGTATTTTTTAGTAGCTATGGGAGCTCACCATATTGGCCAGGCTGGTCTTAAACTCTTGACATTGTGATATGCCCACCTCGGCCTCCCACAATGCTGGGATTACAGGTGTCAGCCACCATGCCCGGCCTTATTTTTTATTTTTAAATTTTTTATTGTTATTTTTGAGACAGAGTCTTGCTCTGTCATCTGGGCCCGAGTGCAGTGGCATAATCTCAGCTCACTGCAATCTCTGCCTCCTCAACCTCCTGAGTAGCTGGGATTACAGGCACCCACCACCATACCCGGCTAATTTTTTGTATTTTTAGTAGAGACGTGCTTTCACTATGTTGGCCAGGCTGGTCTCAAACTCCTGACCTCATGATCCACCCACCTCGGCCTCCCAAAGTCCTGGGATTACAGGCGTGAGCCACCATGCCCCGTGTATATTTTTAAATTATTTTTTGAGATAGAGTCTTGCTCTGTCACCCAGGCTGGAGTGCAATAGCACGATCTCAGCTCACTGCAACTTCTGCCTCCCCGGCTCAAGCAATCCTCCCACCTCAGCCTCCTGAGTAGCTGGGATTACAGGCACATGCCATCACACCCAGCTAGCTTTGTATTTTTAGTGGAGGCGGAGCGTCTCCATGTTGGTCAGGCTAGTCTTGAACTCCACCCGCCTTGGGCTCCCCCAGTGCTGGGATTATAGGCATGAGTCACCACACCCGGCCTGCACCACTGTATTCTATTTTATCTTTTCCTGCTTTCCTGGAATGCCTAATTTTACCTTCCCCCAGGCTGGGCGCGGTGGCTCATGCCTGTAATCCCAGCACTTCGGGATGCCGAGGAGGGTGGATCACTTGAGGTCAGGAGTCCGACACCAGCCTGGCCAACGTGGTGAAACCCCGTCTCTACTAAAAATACAAAAATTAGCCGGGCGTGCTGGCGGGCGCCTGTAGTCCCAGCTACGCAGGAGGCTGAGGCAGGAGAATCGCTTGAACCCGGGAGGTGTTGCAGTGAGCCGAGATCGCACCACTGCGCTCCAGCCTGGGCGAGAGTGAGACTCTGTCTCAAAACAAATAAAATACATTCCCCCAGCTGTGCGTGAGGGCTCTGATTCCCATCCAGAATAAATGTGGCCTGAAGTCCCGCAGGACTCAGTCCTCAGTGGATACTGCTCTGCTCTGTAGGCATCAGCCTCCACACCCTGGCCTCATCCTCCCTGTCCCACGACCCGGCTTCCCAATCTCACAGCCTCCACCCCAGCCTCCCTGCCTCCATCCCCCCTCCCTCCCCCATGGGAAGCAGCTCTAGGTCAGAGCCCCCGGCTACTCGCTTTTCCTCCCTGGCCCCCAAACGCAGACCACCCTCACCAGTGCCTCCAGGGTGGGCGTCAGCGTGCGGTGATAGTCCGAGGCCTCCTGCCGCAAACTGCTGGCCCATCGGATGCCCCACAGCTGGGCCGTGTGGTCCACGTGGACGCCCTGCATAGAGAGGAAGGCTGGGGACGAGACCAGGGCCCATGAGAGAGCCCAGCTTTGGGGGCTCGGGGCTCCACTGAGCCGGCTGCCCGGGCCCCGCCCTGCCTGCCCCCACACAGCCCGGTGGTCACTCCTGACACGCAGTGGGGCGGCCGACGCCCCTGTGGTTGTCCCGAATAGCTACTCACAAGGCTCTCCCTCCATTGCCAAAAGCATCCTGGTTTGGGCTGAATTCTACGGCCACCCACTCAGAGGTCCCCAGACAACAGCACAAAGTGGATGTGAGGCACCCAGTGAGCCCCAGACGCCCCTGGGTTTCCCCCCAAGGCAGGAAGAGGTCCTGCTCATGCCTGTCTCCAATGCAGTGTCTGGCCCAGGACCTGGGCTGACTACAGGGAGTAACAGCTGGAATGACATTGGGGGATGGTGAAATGACTGTCCCCACCTCCTACTGCAGGGACGGGAGCACAGCCAGAGGCCAGCAGGGCTCTCCGGCCACAGTCCCATGAGGACATCTTCAAACGCACTGGTTGATTGGTTGGTTTTGAGACAGAGTCTCGCTCTGTTGCTGAGGCTGGAGTGCCGTGGCGCGATCTCGGCTCACTGCAACCTCCACCTCCCAGGTTCAGCGATCCTCCTTCCTCAGCCTCCTGAGTAGCTGGGATTACAGGCACGCACCACCACACCTGGCTAGATTTTTGTATTTTTCGTAGAGATGGAGTTTCACCATGTTGGCCAGGCTGGTCTCGAACTCCTGACCTCAAGTGATCCGCCCGCCTTGGCCTCCCAAAGTGCTGGGATTGCAGGTGTGAGCCACTGTGCCCGGCCTAATTTTTGTATTTTCAATAGAGATGGGGTTTCACTGCCGGGCGCAGTGGCTCACGCCTGTAATCCCAGCACTTTGGGAGGTTGAGGCGTGTGGATCACAAAGTCAAGAGATCGAGACTATCCTGGTCAACATGGTGAAACCCCGTCTCTACCAAAAATACAAAACATTAGCTGGGCATGGTGGCACAGGCCTGTAATCCCAGCTATTCAGGAGGCTGAGGCAGGAGAATTGCCTGAACCCAGGAGGCGGAGGTTGCAGTGAGCCGAGATCGCACCATTGCACTCCAGCCTGGGTAACAAGAGCGAAACTCCGTCTCAAAAAATAAAAAAATAAAAGAGATGGGGTTTCACCATATTGGCCAGGCTGGACTCGAACTCCTGACCTCAAGTGATCCGCCCGCCTCGGCCTCCCAAAGTGCTGGGATTGCAGGTGTGAGCCACTGCCCCAAGCAGAAAGCCTTGTTTTTTAGCTGTTGGGTACGTTGTGCCCAAAGTACAAAGTACAGCAAAAATATTGTCATAAAAAATTCCTGTGCTGATTCAAGCAGCAGAAGGAAAATATTCTAAATAAAAACTATGAGAGCAACCACAGAAACCATGGAAGCACGAGTTTCGTCAAAAATACGTTAAAACTCCCAGAAGTGCACACCAGCAAAAATGGTCGTCATTACAACATTTAAACGATGAAAATAGCAGCCGCGTAAACCGTAAAAGCTGGGTCCCAATTCCGTCGATTCTAAATGGATAGATACGCTGGGTGGCTATTTACGTAGTCATACATTCAGTAGACAGAATATTCTAAACCAATTCTAAAAACACTATGTTTTTCTGGTTCAAGAAACTAAAAATAAAGAAAAACAAGCACCCTGGCGGTGGCCTGGATTGCCTGCCTGAGTCCCAACCTCACTCCGTAACTTTTTACTCTGAAAGAACTGCAGATTCAGGAAATTTCAGAAATAGCTGAGAACGTCTCCCGCCCTCCACCCAACCTCTCCTGACATCTCCAGCTAAAATGGTGAGCTGTTCAGGAGGGATGAGTTCTCCTTTTTATTTATTTATTTTGTTGAGACAGAGTCTCTATCGTTTGGGCTTCAAAGCAGTGGCGCGGTCACGGCTCACTGCAGCCTCGACCTCCTGGGCTCAGGTGATCCTCCTTCCTTAGCCTCCCAAGTAGCTGGGACCACAGGCACCCACCATCACGCACGGCTGCTTTTCTTTCTTTTTTCCTCTTTTTAAAAAGTTTTATTTGGCCAGGCATGGTGGCTCAAGCCTGTAATCCCAGCACTTTGGGAGGCCAAGGCAGGTGGATCACGAGGTCAAGAGATCGAGACCATCCTGGTCAACACGGTGAAACCCCGTCTCTACTAAAAATACAAAAAATCAGCTGGGCATGGTGGCGCGTGCCTGTAATCCCAGCTACTCAGGAGGCTGAGGCAGGAGAATTGCCTGAACCCAGGT